TTCACAAATATAATCCAATTCTCACATGGCTAATATTTCTCATTAGAAGAATTCAACGCGAGACATTGTCTAGCAAGGCTTAGAAGCTGTGAACGATACAAAAGGCTGATTTGATTCTTAATTTTCAATAGTATTGTGGAAGAGAGGACTCAAAGCACTATAATACTACCGAATACAGGTTTCACTGAAGTGAATAGAAGGGTACTAGATCCATTCTGGTCGAGGGGATCTATATAATATGATTAGACTCCATGCATTTCGAGAAAAATGAATCTATTCTTTTGTTCCTGTCCATATTTTTCGTCTCTTGTATATAAGTAACCAGTCTACTCACTCCACAAGCCTATTTCCTAATTCCTTCTAGTTTTGCATATATGCAATTGAATTTGAATCCGGAAATCGGGAAATAAAGACTATTTTCAAGAGCGAAATGGCTAAAAAATTCACTAGACATGTTGAAAAAATTGCACAAGAAGATCCAAGGGGGATTCATTCACAAAAAGTTGAATTTGCACTTACCTTAGTTCACTTTTGTAATACTTGCAGCCTCTGTACAAAAGCATTGGTATATCAGCAATGTGGGCTATCATCACAGTAGTGCTTGTCTTTGAATTCTCTGTTGGTAAGTTGCTAAAAACTGTGCATTTTCGAAGTATAATTATCTGACCTTAAGTATTGCTAAACATTTGTTTCATAATGTTTGGGTCCAATTGTTCTCATCCTGATGAAAACGCCCTTTCCATCTTATTAGTCAAGCCTAACTTACGAGCTGATTCCATCAAATATATATAGTTCTTTTTTGGCAGCTTTGGCGTCAAAATTCATACGATTCCTTCCAAAAGTGAAGGCAAGTTACGACTATGAAATGTTAATTTTGATACTGACATTCTGTCTAGTGTTGATATCTGGTATTAGAACTAACGAAATATTCGAGTTGGCCCATTTGAGGCTATTTATCATTTTCATCAGTGCATCCACTTCCGTGATTGTATACATTCTCATTTGTCCTGTATGGGCTGGTGAATATCTTCACAAACTTGTTGCTGGAAACATAAAGAAGCTTGGGAATTTCTCGGAAGGTACAATATTTTCACCATTTACAGGAGAAGTTAAAATCTTGTTTATTGTATGGTCTTACATCGTATAATATTACTAAAACTCTGCACACAAACAAATTCTCTTAACTTTTCGTTGTCTTCAGAGTTTGCAGCCGAGTTTTCCAATAAATCATCATCAGTAGCAGAATCCCAAGACGATAGATCATTTTTATCTGGCTTGAACAGTGTTCTTGATTCAGAAAACAACGAATAAACCTTGGTAGGTGAACCTTTCTCCGTTAAAGCAAATATCTTCATACTAATATCATTGATTTTAAAGGATTTTTATTGGCAGCTAATTTTGCTAGTTTGGAACCGGGGACATGGCCAGCTCACGCGTCGCCATCCATGGAAACAATATCTCATAATGGGAAATTTGACGAGGCTATGTGCCTGCAGGCTTGAAGCCCTCGGAGGCAACCTAAACTCCAAATTCATGTAAATTACAATCCCTTCCAACTGATCACCGAGTTGTGTTGTTAATCATAATTCCTAGACATTTGCTAACATTTTAACCTAGGTTTTAGCTGCCATAATAAGTCCATGCCAAAGTTTTTGCTGATGCTAGCCTGAAAAAGAACAATACTAGAAACATAACAAAGAATTCTGCTATGATTCTATGAACGTGTAAGAATGCTTAAAGTCCATACGGAAACTTAAAAAATTTCCTAGGCTGGACAATCTACAAAATTTACGACTGTCTCTTCAGTTAGTAGATGTTTTTATTGGAAGTCTTTGATTGTTCGAGTATTTCATAAGTGCAAATGTGATGGATATTTATTTACTTATCCATTACACTGTCAAGTACTGTGAAATAAATATGTCGTAAAGTGATTAACCACCCATACATCTAATTGATACAATTTTCTTCTAATATTGCAGGAGATCAATGGTATCATTCAAGAGGCACTTTCAGAAATGAGTTCAGAATCTGGAAAAGCACTAAAACAACTAGCCATGGCTACTGAAACCATGACTAGGCCATTCTCCTTATCTGCGAGTCAAGA